GGGTTCCCCAGTATCCAACTACAGGCCGTATGCGACAGCAATCTGAGATTCACGGATGTTTACACTGGGTGGCCAGGCTCAGTTCATGATGCCAGAGTTTTTAAGAATAGTCCAGTGCGCAACATGCTGCATAACGAACTACCACCTAACTTACATCTACTTGGTAATTCTGCGTATGCATTATCAACGTATGTTCTAACGCCATATAGAGATAACGGGCATTTAAATGCAGTAGAAAAACAGTTTAATAAATGCCATTCGTCCACACGTGTTGACATCGAAAGGGCGTTCGGGCTATTAAAGTGTAAATTTCGACGTTTAAAATACCTCGATATGTATTTGCTGACAGAAATTCCCACTGTCATTGTAGCTGCATGTGTATTGCATAACATTAGATTAATTTATGAAGATATTGATGAGGATTTAGATGGACTTGTATATGATAATAATGATGGCGACAATAACGATTACTACTTGGAAAATAACAATCAGGAAGCAGCAAGGGCAAAGCGACAGGAAATTGCGAATTTGTTGTTATAGGAAATTGTAAATCGCAGTGAAGGGGCTTAATTATAACGTTATAAAGAAATAGAATTGAATCAAATAATTCGAATAATAATTATATTAGAGAATGTGATTCAATTAAATCGACTGGGTATAATTATAAAATTTTTACAATTATACGTATATGCAACAAACATATATGCAACGTCATTTTGACGTCCAGAATTGCTTCATCATTAGATGGTGCGATTTTATGAATGGTGTATAGAACTGTTGCAGGTCGCCATTGGGGTGAAACTAGGATGAACAAGGTCCAAGTACAAAAACGCAACAAAAGTGAATGACAACGGTCGACTTTTGAATCCATGAGAGCAAAACACCTGCGAGATGTATAGTCTATTTATTAAAGAAAAAAATACTTCCCAATGTTTTGTTAACACTTGTGTTATTCTCCATAGAAAACTGTACGCCATAATGTAATACATGTATCTTATTTTTGTACTTAATGGAGTACTTACTCTGAGATGTAATCTAAAACATGTTAAATAATGTTTGTTTTTCGTATTTTTTCTTGATATGATTTGTTTGAAAGATAATGTAGTTGTTTAGATAAAATACCGAACGTTCTCACTGCGCATGTGCAGGTAGAACGTGACGACATGTTCAAATATGATATCAAAAAGTAATTGTATTTTTATTTGATGTTAAATCGAACAATAATGATTTTGTTAAGAAGGAATAAAGACATAATAATTAAAGCAAATTTGTTTTTTAGAAGTCTCTGAGGTCAGAATAATTTTGAGTTTGCCCAGTTAGAGCGTATTTGTTCGCTGGTTTCCCTGGTTTCCGGCGTTCTGTTTAGCTATCGAATGTTTACACCAGAGCACGTACGTTTCTAAGGTTACATTGAAACCTGATGCTTGTCTATTTTCAAACAAAAACAAGTCTACGTCACAGTAATACCACCAGTTTGTTGTAGGATTTCATAAATTGCTAGAAAAATGTAATATGTTCATAATATATAATAGTATAATTAATAAATATGCAGGTGATCACATTAACCAACAATGATAGCTGGCAAATCCCGCGTTATTAGGTAAATAATAAAAAAACCCAAATCTGCGCATGCGTGATTTATCATTATGGGTACAATTTGTTGGAAAGCCAAGCGGTCCTTCTTCAATTTCGTACGGGGAAGTCTAGCATGTCATCGAAGAAAGTGCAGTGGAAATGAATGAGAAAGTTTATTCCTGCATGAGCGTGGGTACACCAAATGCAACTATACAATTCCACACATTTCTAGACGGATGTTGAAATAGCTCACACCCGTCTATGTAAGCAATAAACAATTCCAACATAAAATATATTTTGAGACAGATGTAATGTTTACTATTTCAACGAGTGAGCATAGAATAATGGATTCTTCTAACTTATCATTATATGTGCACTGCCTTGTTGCATGGTACTGTAAACCCAATGTATATTTTATCAGTTTATTGTAAACCCAATGTATATTTTATCAGTTTATTAAACTCGACATACTCCATTTTATCATATTTGTGAACATGGTGTAAGTAAATCAATTAGATTGACAAAATTGTTCTTAAATTATACAATGCAGATAGAATAGTTGCATGCAGTGGCCAATGCTACGGTGTCATTGGTAGGTTTATTTCAATATTGAATGGTACTGAGCAATATAGTTCATCTGATTGATGTTCATTTTGTCAAACATTTCAACGCAAGCACTCAAATCATGGGACCCAATTCATCCACTGGTCGCCTATCAACTAGTCATCAAATGCTAGCATTCATTCACTAGTTCCCGAGGCATGTCTTCGAATGATAAGCTAATTTAAATATTTTGGTCTAAACGAACACTTAGCGAAAGCTAACTGAAGACTAAGGAAGTTGGCTCAATATTAGTTTTCTTTAAAAAAAATAACTTTCAGTCACCGAGGCTGTAGTCTGCTAGCTGTCAAATACTTTCTTTTAGAGCTTTTTGATAACTAACGATATATATATCCATTTTGGTAACAAGTTCACAGTGTCAGCTCCTGACATTTTAATTTATTCATAGATACATTAGTCAGTTTCTCCATACATGTCGATAGAGCTTTAGGAAACACCGTTCCCCAGCTTGTTGTAACCGTTTTTGAGTTCAAGCCGCCACGAATTTGTCAATCTTGTAAATTGGCAAGTCCCTTATGTTGGTCTGCACACCTAAGTCACCTCTGATTCATTTAATGAAGAGGTCAACGAACTATTATTTTTCACTCACAGTAAAGTATGGTCGGTGTTAATCTGACTTCAGCTCCAGCACCAATATGACCACATATACCGAACTTATATACACAAGAAATGAACAATACCTCCCATCGATCCCCTATTTTTGAACTTAATCTACATAACTTTTTTTTCGATCATAATTCATGCTGTCAATGTTTTATTTCTATCCTCGGGGGTGGACATCCGGGCATTTTCA